TGAAGTGAGCAGCACATTGGCACTTTTTGAATAATCACGTTAAATTATGCTTAGGTAAATTTTAAATTATAAACCCATTTGCAATTTGAAAAATATATAAACTGGTCTAAACAGCACCATCAGGAAATGGAATATTTTTAAAAATTCTGTGGAGTATTTACTCATGGTTTTAAGAGCCATCAGGAAGCCTATTAAAATGAGAACAGAAAGTACAAAAATATAGAATGTACAATTCTGTTTCTTCAGTGGGGAACAATTAATAGAGCCGAACGATGTTCAGCACAGAGTGTGTACCAAGCCCAAGGATATGAATTACATGGATATTCACCTACTCATCAAACTCTACAAATAAAGAGAACCATTAGCATTTGGAAAAAAGAAACCTAGAACAATCTAAATGTGGTAAGATCTTAGGGTAACACATAGAAAACAAAAAACAAAACCCCCAAAAAACAAGGAACTACATATCCCTGTGGCATTCTTTCTGCAATTGTGGATAAAGCAATGGGGTGGATTTAATTTAAAGCCTGATAGTAGCACTATATGAAATAGAACAAAACTTTTCCATATAGCCTTAGGTTTGGTCCACATTACCCCCTTTTTAGATTTTTTTCCATATTGATCTTTAAAATACATCAGAAATGATAAAAAGGTGAATAGTTAATTATCAGACTATTTTCCTGAGCTACACTGTAATTATGCATATTAATCTGCTTGAGTCTGTATCACTGAACTTTTGTGATCAAGTTGATCTACAAAATGACACCTATAGACTTAGACCTAGCAGAGAGAGTAGAAGGAACTCTGGTGGCAGGGTGTGATTAGCCCACACCCCTCTGCCACTGCTCATGTGCTTGTGCTCAACATGGACAGTGACATCTGACCCTGCTCTCCAGATACCAGGTTCCTGACTTACAGATATACTGGGTAGAGAGGGTGGGATTCATGCATCATACAGTAGTTCTCCAGTATCTGAAATCTTCTTGCCCATCTGAAGCTGAGATGCTTATAATACCTTACTATGGCCTTTTTAAGGGATCACTGACATGTCATTTGATCACCTGAGATGTCCCAATTTCTTAAAGTTCTTACAGATCTCAAGCTTTTTATATTTAAATTTATTTATTTAATTTTTTTAAGAGGAAGATTTTTGATATAGCGTGTAGGCACTTGCAGGACAGACTGAGAAAGACAGAGACACAGAGACAGATAGTGCCAAAAAATCACCCTAACTCCTACCCAGGGGAATGGCCATGCATCAATCCCTTCCCCTCCAGTCTCCTCTCCAAATTTTGGGCATACATGTGCCCAGTGAGTTTCAAGCCTCTGGGTCTGGACTCAACTCCCAGTTGGTCAAGTGGGAGTCCAGCAATGCAATCATTATACCATCTGCTGGTCCCAATATTTAAATTTAAAACACTGTAGCAAAACAGTTTATTTAAAAGGCACTATTTAATTTACTTGCATTTTATGCTTCAGTTTAAGTATTTTGCTTCATTTTTTTTTTAAATGTAAATATTGGGTTGTCAGAAAAGTTACGACTTATTTTTTCTATGTAAATGCAACAAAAAGTGTATCACGATTTTTTCAACAACCCAATATATGCTATGTATTTACATTAGAGATTAACCTATGATTCAGTTTTGAATTTAATAATGGGAAATATTAAGTGTAGAATGTTAAATGCAGAATATTTTTTATATAAACCATTATATAAATTCTTGAATAGCTCCTGAAACTCACAAATAAGCAATTCTCCTTCATAATTAGCATTGAAACTGACCATTTAAATTTTTGAAAACAAAAAAATCCTACTTAGTACTTATTGTTAAAAAAATAAATGAAAAATATCCCTTGAGTTTTTCAAATTTGTTCTTAACCTAACACACACATTCATGTATAATGACATTTGCAGATTTGACACAACTTTCTATGTATGCCTTCCTATTTGAAATATACCACAAACTTCTTTTTTCTAATGCTTCAGAAACAGTATTTATGTGTACCTGCAGCAAAATTTACCATTTTAAAATATACCATTTACATTTCAAGATATTCCTGATGTTTCTATTATATTGGTAAAGAAATTATCCCACAGATATGCATTTTTGTGACATACCATTCATTTAGCACTTTATATATTCTATTCAATGGATAAAAAATTATAGAACTTTCAATTTCTTACTAAAGATAATTTCATCATGGAATTAGTAGTACATAGTAAATCTTTCTAAAAGACATAAATTTTAAAATTTATAGTAGTATTATGATAATTTACTATAATGCTACTTATTAAAGAAAAAACAAATATTATAAAACTTCAAATGGATTTAGGTTATGGATAATTTGACTTTAAGTGTTCTAATTTAGAGAAAAAAGGTGATAGCTCCATTTAAAAATTTATTCGTGAGTGAAATAACCCTAGATACGATTGTCATCTTACCTTCGTGAATCCACTGTTTCATATAAACTTTCTAGAGGTTTAACAAAAATGACTTTATGACAGAGTTCCTGGCAATATGCTCAGGATGGCTCTTTAGCAATTAGAAACACTAATGTGTATTAATGATCCCCAGATTGCCTAAACTCATGTACTCTGGAATTTCCATGATGTTTTTAATTCTACAAAAAGTTATTAAAATAAACACAATCATTGGAATTCAGATAATGTAAGCAGCAACATAAAATACTCATTATAATAATGTAAGGCATGAGAAAGAAATCAGTCCTCTCTACAATATTATAAATTGTGTTTTAAATATATACACACAGGGACCAGCAGTTAGCGTAATGGCTATGTTGCTGGACTCCCATGTAGTCAACCACAGTTCAAGTCCCCGACCCGGCGGTTTAAAACTTATGCCAGGCGCATGTGCGTGTGTGCCTAAGATCCTGAGAGGAGAATGGAGGAGAAGGGACTGCGGCCTGACCATCCCCCCTGGGGGGTGATTTCTTGCTTTCTGTCTCTCTGTCTCTGTCTGTCTTGTGAGCACATGCGCCCTATAGCAAAAACCTCTCCCCCCCAAAAAATATATATACATACACACACACACACACACACACACACACACACACACATGCACATATACACATGCATATATACATGTATGTTTATAAAATCTACCTACTGGAAATAAAATTGATAAAGTTTGTCTTCAGAACACTATCCTTTCTGTGACCTTTTTTTCCCCCTTGAAAATGGTTTGTTTAAAAAACTAGAATACATATCCACTCAATCTTCCATGTTTGGAAGCATTATTTCTTGAAACATATATAAACTAACATAAATTAACATTAACATATAAATAATAGATACAATTTTTATCACTTGGAGAAGAGCTGTGTTTTGTTAGAAGGAAAGAATCATCTTAAAACCAAATAAAATCTAGTTGTAGAATTATTTCAAGAATCAATGAACAGCTGAGGGGCCGGCAGGTGGCATAGTGGCTAAGGGCACTGTACTCCCACATGGCTGGCCACCGTTCAAGTCCCAGACCTGGAGGCTTGCTTTCCTGCTTTCCGTCACTTTCTCTGGGACCATCAGTTGGCGTAATGGCTATGTTGCAGGACTCCCACATAGTCCACCACGGTTCGAGTCCCGAACCCGGTGGCTTAAACTCACGCCGGGTGCGTGTGTGTGCATGCCCAAGATCCCGAGAGGAGAATGTAGGAGAAAGGATTGTGGCATGGCCATCCCTCCTGGGGGGTGATTTCTCGCTTTCTCTCTCTCTATCTCTCTCTGTCTGTCTGGTGAGCGCATGCACCCTATAGCAAAAACCTCTACAAAAAAAGAAAAAAATAAAAAGAATCAATGAACAGCTGAAAAAAGTATTTTGAAAGAAATGGAATTACTCTTCTGATGTAAGTTGGATGTAATGTAAAAAGCACTGTACAAGGTAGCAGGGTGGAATTACATCACAGATGCGGTCATCTACGATATTTAAGTACAGAGCTGGCCATAAATCCGGTCAATACACTTTCTGGGTCCACTTATATTAAAACTTGCCTTAGGCCATAATGTAATAGGTTTGGGGAATATCAGCAGCCATCTGAAGTCAATACATTTTTCCCCACACACATTCAGATGATTTTAAATAAAAGGAAGGGAAATGACTACAATATGTTGTTTATCCCTATGTTAGGAGCAACTTGATGAAAATTAAACAATATCATGACACACAGGAGAGTGAGAAAGAAAGAGCTACTATTGCAAATTAGCTTTTTAACACCTCACTAGTGCTTTAATGGAATTATATACCTCAAGTAGATCCCTAAGTATAGCTAAAAATTGATATTATTGGGTTCCTCATTAAATCTTACCAAGCTAAGTAAAATAGTGAATAGTGATAAAATTTTATGTAGTTACTGTCTGTTAAAATAAACTGAATCTGCCTAACTATTTTAGATACAAACCTTGAATTATTGTGTATCAAGTGTGAAGTCAACCGTTTTCTGAATCAGACATCATAGTAAGAATAATAATGTTCTAGTACAATACCATCAAGATCCTACTGCTGAAAAATGATAACCCTTAAAAAATTTAGAATATTTCCTTTAATTTTCTAAACTCTCTTTGTGTTAAGTAGGAAAGAAACAACTATATGAAGAATCGATGCTATTTATAACATGAGCATAATCTTTCTCAGTAACTAGAAAGTATACTGCAACCCAAAACCTACACTCATGTGTAGAACGGTTAAGTCTCAAGTTGGTGTAGCTCATTAGCTAGAATATAATTTATTAGTATAGTCTAATGAAGCTTTTATGCCTGTTTTACTGTCAATAAATGGAGATGAATTTTATGAATTATTTAAACATTTGTAAATACTAGCTCATGCTGCAAAGCACTCCACATTTTCACATTAATTATTGCAATAGCTATATTTGTAAAAATCCCTAGATATAACAAATGTCCATAGTATCCAAATAACTGTCTGATGCTCTGGTATGCAAACAGTTCAATTTGTCAAGAGTCATATTTAATAAAGGATCTAACTTACCGGTGGATCAGCCCCCTTAGAACCAGTCAGCCCTCCAGTTAGGGATTCGATATCCTGAAACGGGGAGAAGTGTTGATTATAAAATGCTATTCAACTGCACAGATAACCCCTTAGTCCCACTGTAATATTTTCGTTAGCTGCAAAATTAGAACATTTCAACTACTTTTTTGTTTTGGTTTATAATATTGCATACTGTAATACTATAAGAATAGTCTGTAAAGATCTAGATTTTTCTCCAACTCTGCACAGTCTGTTAAAAAAATATTATACACATATACATGCACATTAATTCAGGCTAATTATTCTTGAAATATGTGAAGAAAATGGAAAAATAGTTCTAGATAGGAAAGCGGGTGCTCTATCTTTAAAGAGTTTAAATGAGAACAAAGGAAATTTAAGGAAACTACAACTTAACATATGATTTTCAAAAATATCAATTCCATAGAAAATGCTTAATCTACAAAAAATATTTTTTGAGAGATTTTTGCTATAGGGCATGTGTGCTCACCAGAGAGATGGAGAGAGACAAAAAGCAAGAAACACCCTCCCCCCACAGGGGGGATAGCCACACCACAATCCCTTCCCCTCCATTCTCCTCTCAGGATCTTGGGCATACACACACAGGACCCAAACGTGAATTTCAAGTCACTGCATCTGAGACTATAACCTCAGTTGGCCACATGGGAGTCCAGCACCTTAACCACTATGCCACCTGCTGGCCCCAACCTACAAAATTCAAAAATTATATATAGTCCACATTACTATTATACATAGAAGATGAAAATATAAACAGATATGGATAAGTTAGGTATTCTTTTACCAAGATTGATTTCTAATTTTTAGTCAGTAACCACAGAAGATTATTTCTGAGTGATGATTATAGTTGTCACTGTGTTTATACTACGGAAATAGGTGACACTGCCTGTGAGCAATTTATAAGGACAACTACAATCCACCCTTGTCAGCTAGGACTTTCGCTCAAGGGTTAAAAATCATATGAAATTTGGGACCAGCAGTTAGTGTAATGGCTTTGTCACTGGACTCCCATGTAGTCGACCATCGTTTAAGTCCTGGACCCGGTGGCTTGAACTCATGCCGGGTACGTGTGCATGCGTGCCCAAGATCCTGAGGAGAATGGAGGAGAAGGGATTGTGGCATGGTCATCCCCTCTGGGTGGGGGGGTGATTTCTCGCTTTCTGTCTCCCTATCTCTCTCTGTCTTTCTGGCGAGTGCACATACCCTGTAACAATACCCCCCACAAAACAAACAAACAAACAAACAAACAAAAAATCATATGAGCTTTTCAAAAGAAGATGGAATTTCAGATTTGAAAGTAAAATATCCCAGTTTTTTAATGTTTGCAATTAAGCTTACAATTATCCCCAATCTAGCCCTTCCAAATCCTCCCCCTCAAAAGCAACGAGAATTATTCAAAGGTTGTTGTATCAAAGTTGCAGACTACATTGAAGAGGTAGTTGTTTTGCTAAAAAGACTTTAAAGAAAACGATGATTTTTTTATCTGTTTATATATAGTTGAAAGAATTAGTGATAAAAAAACCTAGGAAAATATAGTTGTAAAAAGAAAGCAAAGAAAGATAACTGAGTCAATATTGAAGCAAAATAAAGTTGAACGTTTATGATTAAGGAAATGGCCAATTCCTTGATATCACTAAGAGGATTTATGCTACTAATTCACTAGACAGTTAATCACATTATTATCCCCTGATAGTTCCAGAAATGGGAGTTTTAATACAACATGGGCTGAGATGAGCATGTGATGGAAGAGCATATGGGGAGAAGGAAGAGACGGTGCTATGCATGCTTATATCTGAAGAAGCTGACTTTAAACAGGAATTCAATGGGTGATAAATTGCTTCATGCATATTCTACCAAGGCTTATAAATGATAAGGCAACCACAAGGAATACTTGCCAAAACTGTACTAAGTTATCTTCTCTGTAATACTCATACACAGTGTGTGTGTTTAATGTTTTTCCCTATCCAGCATCCTTTTGAGGAACTACCTCTTCTCCTCCCCTATTCAAGCTCCAAAAGGCTTATAAAATAGCTTCCAATATTGTAGGAGACTTCCAGAGAATTAAAGCAGTATAGAATATGGAACATGTTAATTTAAGAGAGTTAAAGTCTTTGATTCTATCATTTGAAGAATGTTTGGAACTAGATGTTTTGTCTGCACCTCAGTTTAAAATAGGTTTCTGGCTTTCAAAATCCAAAATTACCTAATACGAAAAGTTGTGTTTTACTTAATGACGGAAATGCATTCTGAGAAATGCATTGTTAGGCATTGTGTGAATGTCAGAATGAACTTACACAACCCTAGATGGTATGGCCTGGTCTATGTAATATAGCCTGTATGTTACTTTGATATCACCATTGGGTCTGTCTTTGACTAAACATAATTATGTGACACATAACTGTAGATGCATTGCTTGTTCTATTTGTAAAGTACCTCCTGTTCTGTTGAAATTCTTTAATCCAACACTATGCACATAGAATATAAATCATCTAATTATATTATCTCACATATTCTTTAATATTCCCGTTAAGTCACCTAGGAAAAGTATGTTTCTATATGATAAAAGTAAAGCATAAAACATATTTATAAATTCAAAACCAAAATTAATGACTCTATTGAATTTTAAGATAAAATATAATTTTAAAATTGTTTTAGAATTTTATGGAATGAACTCATATTAGGGTCCAAATGACTAAAATATTAACAAAAATTATAAAGCTATTTATTACCCTGTTTGATAATACTATTATGACTATGACTAAAACAAACTTCATATGGGTAGGTTATTTCCAAGCAAGAAAATGATGTTAAGTATATTTTTATATGGGACCAGCAGATGGTATGGTGGTCAAGGTGCTGGACTCCCACATGGTCTATTGAGGTTCAAGTCCCAGACCCAGTGGATTGAAAAGCACATCAAATGCATGTGTGTTAGTGCCCAAGGAGGAGAATGGAAGAAAAAAGAGTACAACATGGCCATCCTGCCAGGGGAATATTTCTCAATTTCCTTCTCACTGTCCTTTTTCTCTCTCTCTGTCCAGCACACACAGCCTATGGGGGGGAGGGGAATCTTAAAAAAAAAAGTGCATTTTTAGTTAATATGTACCTTTCTTTATAGAGAGGCACACAAATAATATTAACAAACTAATTTTTAATGCAGCTATCAAAAGATAATAGAGAAACTGATTCAGATAAAAAATCATTTTGGCAATTGATTCATTTGTCATATATTTTTTTTCTTTTTTTGGAGAGGTTTTTTTTCTATAGGGCCCGTGCACTCGCCAGGAAGACAGAGACAGACAGAGAGAGAGAAAGCGAGACATCACCCCCGGGGGAACAGCCACACCGCAATCCATTCTCCTCTCAGGATCTTGGGCACGCATGCCACACATATGCGCCCGGCGTGGGTTTAAGCCACTGGGTCCGGGACTTAAACCACGGTTGACTACATGGGAATCCAGCGACATAGCCATTATACTAACTGCTGGTCCCCATTTGTCATATTTTACAAGTTCTATCATAAAGCTCTCTATAACAGATATATTGTGCCAATTTTCAGATATTTAAAATTTTAAGCTTTTTATGGTAGTCATGGTCTTGAGAAAATAAAGAAAAAGAATAGGGAACAGCAGATGGAGTAATGGTTACACTGCTGGACTCCCACGTAGGCTACCACGCTTGAGTCCTGGACCAAGTGACTTAAAACTCATGCCAGGTGTGTGTGCCTGTGTGCCCAAAATCCCAGGAAGAAAATGGAGGAGCAGATTGCAGAATGGCTATCCCTCCAGGGGGTGATTTCTCACTTCCTGTCTATCTGTCTCTTCGGTGTACATATGTGCCCTATAGCAAAAAGCTCTCAAAACAAACAAAATAACAATTCAGAAAATGAATGATAAAAATCATTGATATTTATGTTTTAACAGGTTGAAGTAATAACAAATTATAAATTCATAGCTCTAGAGAGTGTGCAAATGTATCTATTATCCCCTTTACTCATTCAATTGTAAAACATTTTTGGAGCCAATGTTCTATTTTGAGTACATGCTGAAAAAGAGTGTCCTACTTGGATAGAGGCCCAAGTTAAACACGGTTCATCACTTGATGCAAAAAAAGTTTTCTCAGGTATGAATAATGAACGTAAGTGTGCATGAATGCATTTATGTTGTAAAATAGATAAATAAATAAATCCTTTTCTGAATTCTGAACATATGTGTTGCTACATTGCTCTTAAAGAAAAACAAAAGAGAAATCTATCTTTTCAATGGTTGTTAAGTATTTTATCTATGAAATATGATAAAAATATTTCACAAATGTGTTTATCATGTTCTCCAAATGTTTTTTATATAGCTAACAAAAGAGGACATCTATTAGTAAAAGCATTGATTTTCTAGGAAGTTTTAGCTTACTTCTTTAATAATGTTATTTGCTTAAAATATTAGAAAAAAACATTTGCTTTATAATAGGTTACAGACTTTTTGCAACAATATAATATACCATGTACACATCATTATTCAGATCATATAGCTAATAAAATTGTTACTACTTACCCAACATTTACCATGTAACTCTTTTTAAATATTTTATACACATTAACCCTATCACAGCCTTATAAGTTGCTTATTTCTTTTCTCATTTAAGAGGATAGTTTATATAAGTTACTCAATATCATACAACTGTTAAGAAGTGGGATTACCAAGCACATTTATAGGGCTCCAAAGATGTTTTTAAATTCCAGTACCAGAAACCAGCTTCATCCTAATACCCTGGTGATCTTGCATGTGTCCACACTGGCCAAGGAGGCAAGGCTAAACCGCAGGCTGGCCTGTGTCTTGGTAGAATGTCCTCTGCGTGTCCCAGAACATGGCAAGGTAAGTAGTCTTATGAGAAGCTTTTACATGACTGTCTCTTATTTGTCTCCCTAGCAACAGTATGGCATGAGATTTTCCATTCCACATCTCTCAACCTCAGGTCCATCTGCAGGACATAAAACCATTGGGGTACAGTATAAATTGGCTTCT